GGCAAATGGCAGGATTCATCTGGGTGGAGTCCATTTCATGCATAAATTTAGGTGGGCTTTATGAATTTTTATTTATATATTTTTGTTCTGTTCTCTGTGGGAAGTGATGTTTCTTTTTTTTTCATTCTTTTTGGGGAATGATACAAACCAAACTGCTTATGCAAGCAGCAAGGCGTGACTCCTAGCCCAAGACTTCTATTGCTCTTTTCTTCTCTTCTTTGCCCACAAAAACTAATTCACAATAAACCTGTTCTCTGGCCAAGGCTTGTCCCCTCCTCAGCAGGGGGCTTTCTTTTTTTGCTGACTTTAGAATAAATTCAGATTTATGTCTCCAGATTATGGAGTGCATGGCTCCAGCTTCCTTTGGAAACTTTGCTTAAATACTAGCGTAGTTGGAAGCCCTTCTGTTTTCTTCCTCCCGCAGACTAATAATTCCTGAACCACTGGATTGGAGCAGTCTTGAGGGTTGGGGGGAGGCAACTGCATTTCTGAACTTGGGTACATTCAACCTATATTTTTCACACCTGAGTGAGAAAAGGCACTTGAGCTCCAAAGGCAGGTAAATGAAACAGAGCAGAAAGAGCCCTGCGGTTGGGTTTGCACAGGAGCTAGACTAGCTCACTATACTTGTGAAAGGCCCTAGGCGGACAAGATCTGTTTGAGCCTCAGGTTTTTCATCTGTAAAATGGGGTTCAGAAATCATATCTATAAAACACCAGGCAAAGTATCTGGGACATAATAGATTCCCCAGAAATGCTGAAGAGGATGATGATGGTGATGAAGAGTTCAGGGAGCCTGGCTTCTCAGACAGGGCTGGTGATTGGGCCGGCTTGGAGGATAAAACTCTAGCTGTGTGTCCACAAAAACTAACTTCTTCCAAAATGTGTTCCTCATGGCACATGAAAAGAACATTTAAAAAAAATTATCCACCTGGAAAGCAAAGAGAGGAGACTCCCTGATTCTCCGGCACCCCCTTATCTGAACCCAAATTTGAGTCTTTGCAGAGAGGAAAGGTGAGAGCAATCAGTTTTCCTTTCCCTTCTGAAGCAGAGCTCCTTGGAGGCCTGGTGCTATAAATATAAGAGTATAATTATTCTTTCTCTAAGCCTAGTGCAAAATAGGAATAATACTGATTGGCTTAAATTAAAAATAAATCAAATGTGGAGATTCTAGGTCTGAAGCAGAGGAAAGCATGTGGGCTAAAGAGTCCTAAAACCAAAAAACACCAAACCCATTGCTGTCGAGTTGATTCCAACTCACCTTATAGGAGAGGGTAGAACTGTCCCATAGGGTTTCCCAGGCTGTAATCTTCATGGAAGCAGATTGCCACATCTTTCTCCCGTAGAGTGACTGGTGGGTTTGAACCACTGACCTTTTGGTTAGTAGCCAAGTGCTTAACCACTGCACCAGGAGTCCTAGATCTGGGTTTGAGCCCAGACTCCCCACTCACTAGCCACTCGATTTGTGACAAGTCTTTCTACACCTCCGTTTCTTCACCTGGAAAATGGGGATAATACCTCCTACTTGTGGTACATAGTCAGGATGAGATAAAATTTACCAAATGCCTATGCAGTGCCTTAGACACGGTAGGTACAATGGTGGTGTAAATAATAGTAAACCAGTGACTCCGACTCTGTTTTGCTATGGTGGGAAGAGTTGGGGAGGAGGTGGTGAGCTTCCCTGACTGTGCCAGGGCACTGGACTTTAAGCTGGTGGCATCTGTCGCTGGCTCAGTCTGAAAGAAAAGACTCACAGATGACCACAGGAAAGACTCACAGATGACCAGAGGGAGCTGCTAGGACCTCCCTAATGGGGAATGGGGATGGCGCTTCCAGATCAGCTGCATGGAGTTCCCTTTCCTCTTGAGGTGTGACTCAGGCCAGGACTCAGAGCTGACCAGGAGAAGCCCAGGGATGTCTTCTTCAACCCTGGAAGGCTGAATATTCAGCACAGGCACGGACTCCAAAGCCAACTGGCTCATAGCTGCCCCCTCTCCACTGGCTATCAAATGCCTCTCAGACAATAATGGCACGCAAGTGGAAGGCGGTGATTTAAAATCTTTATTAAAGCTTGCAGAATAAGAACGCACTGTGACAACGTACAGGTCCTGTGGCCTAAATCCTTAACAGAAACAGATATTATGACTTAGCAAGACCACGTGGTGCCAATTCTGAGATCTGACGAGATTGTTCTTCCTTAGGAAATGGCCACTGGAAGCATTGTTTTTCCATGTTGTTGTAGCAAAGCCTTTGACTTGGTTTGAGTTTACATTTCTCTGTGTGTGTGTGTGTGTCAAAATATGACTACGGACCTGGGCTGGTGGTTTCTATTTACTTAGTTTCAGGTGTTAGCATTTCGCTATACTCAATCCTCACATTTCAGAATAACAGAACTATTTACTGATACAAAGGAGACGTGCTCAGATCATCTTGTTAAGACGAGAAGCTCAAAATAAACATCATATCTGTATTTGGATATCAACATCCTTCCTCAAAGGAAGGCTCATGAGTAAACTTGTATGAAGCATGAAGCCCAAGGAGAGGGTGTATTTTTAATGACTCCTTTGCTTACATTTTAGATTGTAAAAGCGCCTTGATAAACGCTTACAGGAATTTGGGCTTTCCTCAGTTTTGAGCAAAAGAACCTTAGCAGTAAATATGATTGCATGCTTCCAGTAACATCAGGAAGCAGAATGAAATGATATTGACCTGACTTCTGAGAAAACACAAACCAGTGGCATGAAAAGTATACAACAGAGACCAGCAAAGAGGTTCAAATGAACATAGTAAGTGATTGTATGCCATGGGGGAAAAACATGGAAAAAATAAATACAAATGACATGTATTTACAGTAGAAGCAACCGATGGGACATCAGTAGGCAAACATATACAACATTTAGACTGAGGACATAAAAAAGCGGTGCTTGTCGCACACCCAGGCAAGGAGCTGGCTAACAAGCAGCAGACGGAGCAACACGAGAGAATGTTATTGTTTTAGCTTTTGAGTGACATGAGTAAAATGGTTGACATGCTCAAGTGCTACCCGGCGTGAGACAGCTATGGTTTACGTTCCCATGGCAGGGCCTGACATTTCGGTCCTCCTCCCCTCGTCTCCAGCCCAGAGTGCCAGTAAGTGCACCAGACTCCTCTGTTTTCCCCTCCCCCACCGGGTGCATTTTCCTTGCATGTTATACCCCTCCCCCAACACCCAAAGGGATTCTTTCCAACATTGACCATCAAAAAGCCAGGAGGTGACCCCCAGCACCATGTCCTGGTAGCAATAAGATTGGATTTTGGGTATATAAATACTAGTTGTGTTTTGGGTGTGAGTATTCCCTGGAATGGAATCCATGGGTGGGTGCAGACAGTTAAGGTTCTTGGCTGCTAATCAAAATGTTGGAAGTTCAAGTCTGTTCAGAGGTGCTTTGGAAGAAAGGCCTGGTGACCTACTTCCAAAATATCAGCCACTGAAAACCCTATGTAGCACAGTTCTACTCTGACATATGTGTGGTTGCCATGAGTCAGCTTTGACTCCACAGCCAACTGGTCTATTTCCTGGAATAAACCAGAGTCAATTTAGCTTCTTCTTTGTCTTTGGCCTCAGACTGTTTTGAGGGAGAGCTAATGGATTGATACATAAAGGAGGACGCATATTTTTTGCCCATTCACTAGAACAGGGGTTGGCAAACTACGGCCCATGGGCCAAATCTAGCTGGGCATGAATTAAATAAAGTTTTATTGGAATGTAGCCAAGCTTATTTGTTTATAGATTGTTTTAACAGATGCTTTTGCTCTACAATGGCAGCTGAACAGTTGTGACAGAAAATACTATATTTACTATCAGGCCCTTTTCCAGAAGAAATTTGCCTACCCCTCTTCTAGAAGGACCTGGTCCAGAACACCCTCTCCATTCCTTGCAATGCTAGGCTCCTGTCTGAGCACTGGCTGCAAGAAAGAATAAGATTTAATGTGATAGCCTGTTAGGAGGCCTGCCCAGGAGATGTTTTAAATAACAGCAAGAAATTCACTGCTGACACTTCCTATTACAATCCTCTCCCTCCCTCCCTCTTATTTTTAGTTCTCTCTCTCCTCTCTGCTTTTCCTTTGTCCAAGTTCACTTTTCTCCTCATTGTTAAGTTTCCAATTAGGATCTGGAAAATCTTGTTCCTTAGAGGTTTTCAACAGTCTCGTCCATTTATGTGAAAGGTCCGCCTTCCCTGCTGGAAATTAATAAGTGGCCTTCATTTCTCTTCTCCCTTTTTCCCACTTGGCTTCATGGAGTTGATGGTAAAACGCTTTATCAATCTTGGCTGAAGGTTGAGGTGAGTTAACAAAATTCTCAGGGAAATCTGTCCAGTGTTGTTCTGTGTGTGTTTCCTCCCTGCATAAGGCTGGCCCCGAGTGGGTCTGAGCCCACATCAGGCAGTTAGATGCAGACACATTGCTCTGCTTGATTCCTTTTTAAATAGCACTTAGGGAAAAAAAATCAGCTCCAAAGGATGGGCTGGGCTTGTTTCCCCCTTTGAGCTGGTTTTAATGACCCAGTTGCTTTGTTTGAAAGCCATTTATTTAGACGACAGATATGTAGATGTAATTGGATAAATAAAAAGTGAAATCAAGGTTGGAAGCAGTGGTTAAAATACAAACACGCGGGGGCCACTCCCTCGGACAGTGTCCCCCCCCAGACAGAACAATGGCTCAGAAATGATACTTAGAACCCTCCCCCTGCCCCCAGGCAGCTCTAAACCTCAAGGTCCCATGCAAGAAACTGAATTTCGGTTTGGCACCAAGCACCCATGCGGCCCCTGCCTCCTCTCCGCCCTTCGCCTGTACCCCCAGAGATATTTTTACATTCACTCCTGCCCTGCGGAATCCAGCCACCCTCCGCCCTCCTCCTCCAAGACAGCACTAGAAGCTGCGGGGCGGGAGCCCAGCACCAGGTGTGTGGTCCTGCCCAGGTGGGCGCCCTTAACCCTGCCCCTCCCCAGTTCACCTCCCCCACAACAGAGTAAACTGCAGACCACCTCCCACTGACTCTGTAGGCTTGAAAGAAGACAAAGTTATGACGAGGACGACACACCCACTTGAGTATGTGCGAATGCAGAATTCACCAGGTACAACCGAGACTGAGACCTCGCTGCCCAAAGGAGTCTCCATCTCACCTGTTCATTCCGCTAACATACACCTTCATGAAGTCCACAATCCCCATAAAATCCTGCGTGTGACATCCCCCCTCTTTAATGGTAAATGTTTTGGAATGTCCATAGATTAAGAAAATGGACGGCGTGGAAGAAAGATTTCATGGCCAGGCCTCTCATTTCACCTCCGGATATCGGAATATTCAGATTGTTCATCCTCCCACTCGTTGCTTCCAGAAGATCCCTGGGCCCCGTGGCCCCCGGCTCTGCCCCGGGCGTGGGCGCTTGGGTGGCTCCTGCTGCCTCGCTCACCCTTGGCCCCTCTGCTGGTCTCCCTACTGCTGGGCTCTGCGAGGTGGTGACCCACTTCCCCATGGTGGGCCCTGGCAAGCTTGGCTCTGTCCACCTGGACCTGGCGCTCAGGGGGTACAGTGGGGGGCCTCTGGATGGCGGAGGTGCAGAAGCTCAAGATGGAGCACAGGCTCCCCCAGTTCTGTTCACACTGAGCCTGCACGCTGTGGGTGATGGCTTCCTTCACCTCTTCCCCGCAGGTCAGCAGCAGGTTCACCAGGTCCACGTAGGGTCTAGAGATGGAGAGCAAACAGAGAGATACTGAGAATGGAGCAAGTCCCCACTGGGCCATCAAGGGCAGTGACAACACTTGGGTTGGGTTTGGTTTGGTGAAAGACCTTTCTGGAATTCAAGCCTCTACTCATATTCTAGGGAGCCCTGGTGGCACAGTGGTTAAGCACTTGGCTGCTAACCAAAAGGTCAGTGGTTCGAACCCGCCAGCTGCTCTGCGGGAGAAAGATGTGGCAGTCTGCTTTCGTAAAGATTTATAGCCTTAGAAACCCTATGCGGAAGTTCTACCCTATCCTATAGGGTGGTTATGAGTTGGAATAGACTCAGTGGCAGTAGGTTTTTTTTTTTAACCCATATTCTATGGAGTACTGGCCTACCCAAACATTTACTGAGTGGTGATGATGCCCCAGGCTCCATGCCAGGCATTGGAGGTAGTTTAGAGGCACAGGAACACTCCCAACAGTAGCATCACTAGAGTGGTGCGGACTGCATAAGCTGACACCGTCAGAGGGGGTGACACCAAAATGACCGTCTATAAAATTTTTGTGCAGTGTTTCAGCAGAAATTTATAATTTATTATTTTTTATAAAAATATCCCTGGGGTTAGTTATAGGAGACCTGGTGGCGCAGTGGTTAAGAGCTCGGCTAGTAACCAAAAGGTCAGCAGTTCAAATCCACTAGCCGCTCCTTGGAAACCCTACGGGGCAGTTCTACTCTGTCCTATAGGTCCCTATGAGTCGGAATCGACTTGATGGCAATGCGTTTGGGTTTTTTTGGTTTTAGTTAGTTATAACAACAAAAACATTTTTCGTAAGCCCAGCTTACATGTATCAGTATACCTACAAGGCTAAAACGCTATGTATGCTCACTTAACTTTTTGAGCCTTCTAATGCCCTCCGGGAGGAGCCCTGAGGCAACAGTTAAGCACTCGCTGCTAATGAAAAGGGTGGCAGTTTGAACCCACCCAGTGGCTCCATGAGAGAAAGACCAGGTGATCTGCTCCCGTAAAGATGTAAAGATTACAGCTTAGAAGGCCCCATGGGGCAGTTCTACTCTGTCATATGGTGTCGCTATGAGTCAAATTCCACTCCGTGGACCTAACAACAATGCCCTCCCGTCAGAGCTGTCATTACTACCCAGTTACAATGACGCTTTGAATCAAATGGTTTCGTCTGCATAAGCTGTTGTTTTCATTACTGCTGTTGTTTTTACAGTCGCTGATTTTGTCAAATTTTCTGGCGTTTTAGCTACAATATTGTGGTAACTAGTATTTGTGAACCTATATCAATAATTTTTTTGAGGATGAAATAGTAAAGGAAAAGAAGGAGTGATACATGGGAATTATGATTTACAAGTAACATTAGTACAAAAAAAACATTACTAAGGATTCTGTATGGTCTGGTACGGGAGGAGGTCCATGGGAGGGCGAGGACACCAGCCCAAGTGATGCCACTGGCTCCCCCTCTCCAAATAGCTGTAGAGATAGAGCCCACCACATGAACGCTTAACAGGTGCACATCGTAGAGGGCTAGGGCCCCAACACTACAACAAAGGGCCCTGGGGAAGGTGGAGAGCCAGATGGTGAGAACTTGGGCTAGGGCCGCTGTGTGAATAATGGAAGGAGAGCAGGAGAGCTGTGGATATGTTTAGGGCACGCTAGGGAGGTAGGTTCTCGCTCGAGTGGAGAGGCGTCTGGGGAGCCGTGGAATCGGCAATGTACGCATGGGTTTACTTGTGCTTACTTACTTATCTGTAGTGCACAATTTCACCTGTTTGACTCACGTAAACACAATTCAGCTCATGCATACCTTGCTTACTGTAAGCCTGTGCATACCTAGCTTACTGGTTTATCTGCCCCTGTGTGGAATAGTACTTAGGCAAATAGTGGCGGGCCTTCCATACCAAATGGAGGAGTCTTTTTGATAGGCAAGGAGGAGCCATAGCAGATTTGGGGCTCAGAGAGGGGCTCTGGAATGACCTCTGTGAACCCCACACTATTCTCTTGCATGTGGCTTCAGTGAGGCCAGCTTGCTTGGCATGATGTGCCATTCCCCCAAGCAAAAGAAACCATCCCTTATATCCAGGTTTGCCACTGGTCCAGGCTAATGGGAAAGTCATAGCTCATGGAAATTTCTAGATGCCCTGCCCTCTTATCCTTCCCTCTGCATCTGGAGGTACCTGGAAGCTGTGGAGAAGCGCCTTCTTGGGGTGCCATTTCCCAGGAAGCTTTTTTTCTCTTTCTCAGTCGGGGAGGCTGAGGAGTAGGAGTGGCTAGCCAAACTTCTTTATTTATTCAATCTAGGTTTCCCCCAAACTGGAGGTGAGGGAGCTGTGTGCTTTGAATGAGAGCTGGGTCAGGCCCTTCTGGCTGCCTTGGGTGCGCTTAAGGAGAATCGCTGGAGGACGGACTACACTGTGCAAACTGTCCTTGTACTCATGGGGTGGGGACATCGGGAGGGCAGGATTGGCTGCCCGCTTTTTGTATTTTTGGTCCATTTAGTAAGGAATGTCTCCAGCAATGGGCTCCCATGGCCCACTCACTGTGCCTTTCTTATCACTCAGTGGACTTTTAAGATCCCCAAAGTGGGAATGGCATGCTTCATGTGGCTCACCAGGTTCTTAAGCAGTCCTTGCCTAGCAAAGTTGCAAAGTTTCTGGATACATCAACCATGGGCATTGCAGCTCTGGGCCATGACCTTGGGCAGGGCAATCACTCTGTGGTGTGAGATCAACGATAAGAAGGAGCAAACTTTTCTCCTTCATAAGCGTGCACCACATGGTTGGCTGCATTCTAGCCCCATTTCATCTTTTGTTAGTTTGCAGTTGCTGCTATGCAGAAAGCATAGGTTAGGTTTTAAGGCTTGTAAAGCAGTTGACTGCCCTTTTTTATTATTAGTCTTCAAGTGGTAGTTGGGCAAACTGTCCTCATTTCATGGATGTAAAAACTGACACAAAGGGAAAGAATGTGGCTTTAAGACATTTCTGGGGCTAGCAAGGCCCAGGGCTGGGCTGCGAGCAGAGAGCAGAGAGCAGGAATGTTGGCTGATAGAGATCAAGCTGCCTTTTAAGGTCCACTTGATGGCTTTGGAGTCTGAGATTCTGTGTATCTCTCGTGGGCAAGTAGCTTAAACTCTCAAAAGGCAGAGTTTCTTAGCAACAAGGAAGCTGACAACACTTGTCTTCTTGGGCCGCTATAAGGAGGGTAATGTGAGGGAAACGCTGAATGCCAGCTTGTTTCCTTCCATTTTTTGAAAACTCTCAAAGGGCCTCAGGGAGCACAAGCTCACTGAGTGTATCTGCTGAAGCAGAGTCCCCAGGTGGTGCAAAAGGTTAACGTGTTCGGCTGCTAACTCAAAGGTTGGAGGTTCGAGTCCACCAGAGGTGCGCTGGAAGAAAGACATGGCTATCTACTTCCAAAAAATCAGCCACTGAAAACCTTATGGAGCACAGCTCTACTCTGGCACATATGGGGTTGCTATGAGTCGGAGGTGACTCCGCAACAACTGGTTATCTGCTGAAGCAGCGACAGGATTTTAGCACCTAGTTGTTTGTGCCTTTCACCCCTGGGGGCTGGATGAGAAAATTGCAGGGACTGAGTCTGTGAGGCTCTGGTTTCAAGATTCTTTCCCCAGAGTGGGGAGAAGGGTCTCTTGGGAACATGCAGACTGCCTCTTGGCCTCCTGTGCCAGAGCATTCAGCTGCCCAAAGAGCTCTCAGAACCCCAAGGCTGACCCCAGAAGGCTGGTGAACCCAGACTCTCCTCTGCCCTTGGCCCTCCCTTGAGGAGAAAGCTGTGTACTGTTGGGAGGGTGTGTGTGCTGAACCTAACTAATCTAAGCCGTGCTCCGAGCTGGCCTTGTGCCTTTTTAGGCTGCAAGCTCAGCCCGTGTCTAATGACAAAGCCCAGCTCTCTCAATTGGGTGTCAGCAAGGCTAAAGAATTTTAAAAATACTTGGAGGGGGATGTGCCTGGAGGCTCAGATGATCGATGGCTGCCAGCACACAGTGACAATGTGTGCGGTGGCTAAGCAGGGCTGGCTGCAGCTGGGGGAGCAGGTGATATGCAGAAAGCGGGCTGGGAAGGGGTGTGGGGAGCAGTGAGGAATGGAGAGTTTGAAAAGAACCACTTCAACTGACTGTGCTTTGCGGTGGGTGGAGATTGGGCTGAGGAATGGGGATGGTGTGCATCTGTGGGTGACTGCGTTGTTCTCAGAGCCCTGGTGGCACAGTAGTTAAGAGCTTGGGTGTTAACCAAAAGGTTGGCAGTTTGAATCCACCAGCTGCTCCTTGGAAACCCTACTGGGGAGTTCTACTGTGTCCTATAGGGTCGCTATGAGTCAGCATCAACTCAACTGCAATAGGTTTGGTTTTTATTTTTGGTGTGATGTCCTCCTCTCTAAAGTGAGAAGCAAATTCGGTTCTCATTTTCTTGTCTGTGACCAATGCCACACATTCCTAAGTGGTGTTCTTGATATTTGGGCACTGGCAGGATTCTTTGTGTCAAAATCAGTTAAGATGGTTCAAGAACCAAAAAGTTTAGGCAATTTAGTTTGAAGGTCAAGGTGATGCACTGCATAGTCATAGCTTCAGAAAGGAAGATATTGCGGTTTGTGAGGAGCTGGAGTTAGGCAAGAGTCATCGGGTGGTGCAAATGGTTAATGCATTCGGCTGCTAAATGAAAGGTTGGTGGTTCAAGTCCACCCAGAGGCACCTAGGAAGAAAGCCCTGGTGATCTACTTCTGAAAAATCAGCCATTGAAAACCCTATGGAGTAAAGTTCTACTGTGATGCACATGGGATGGCTATGAGTTGGACTTGACTCCATAGCAACTGGTTTACTGGTTGGAGTGAGGCGAAACTCACTGCCTGGAAGTGCCAGCTTAGTAGCAAGCCAGAGGATTTGCATGAGGTCACAAGGAGTGTTCTTAAAGGAGGCCCAGGTTTCTTATCAGAGTGGGCCACCTCCATTCTCAGAACAGGCTGGGGAGAGGGCATTCTAAATGATGCAGAGAACCCTCTGGAAGTAAGGGTCCCATGCCCTTGTGGGCCTCATTTCCATGAGGAGACACTAGAAAGCCACAGTGGTTGCCCCCTTCTTATGTTCTAGAGGGACCGAAAAACTGTAAAATCTTGTTTCTCCACAAAGAAGACTTTTCTCCAAAGAGACAAAGTTTTCTCGTGCTCCAGGAATATACTATAGACTTATAAACTAGTGCCCCATCCTTCATTCTTGAAGCCTTCAGAATATCTTTTATGAGTGACAGCAGGTCCAGGGAGACTGAACTTTATGAAGTTTCTCAGCCTTGGGGCTTTTGCCTCTTGCCTTCCTGATAGACTTGGGAGAATAATCCTTCATTTCTAGGGGCACCCTGAAAGAAAGGGATTTCTCAGTGCTCTCCTCGTGCAGGAGTCCTTGAGTGATATAAACGATTTACATGCTTGGCTGCCAACTGAAATGCTGGAGGCTCAAGTCTACCCAGAGGTGCCTTGGAAGAAAGGCCTGGTGATCTACTTCTGAAAAATCAGTCATTGAAAACCAAAGGAGCACAGTTCTACTCTGACACACATGAGGGCGCCATGAGTCGGAGCTGACTCAATGGCAACTGGTATTGGTACTGCTTGTGTAATGGGGATACGTTTAAAGAAAAAAAAAAAAGCACTGCACTTGGGGACCAGTGAGCCTTCAGCAGGCCTCGTCAAGAGGACAGGCCAGGGGCAAGGAGATGTGAGGTGTATTCCTGACAACTGGCTTCAGTTATTCTACCACCAATTCCCAAGCTGAAAAGCAGGACTCAAATCGCAGAGGAAGTTCTTTAACCTTGTAGCATCAGTTTCCTCATCTGTTAAATGGGGCTCCTGATTTCTATCTTGTAACATTGTTGGGAAGGAGTATAAAATAATCCATATAAAGCCCTGGTCCAAGGGCCTACTCAAAAAACGGCAGTTATTATTATTGTTGCTGCTGATGCTGTTTGTTGCTATTGTTCCTTTACAGCTATTTGGAAGAATAAGTAATATTTCATAAGGCATTAGTGTACCTCAAGGAAAAGGTAACATTATTATGCTTTTGGCAAGAGCTGCCTACAGAGTTTTCCAGAGAATCTTATAGTTCTAACACTGCACCAAGGGTGTGGCAAGATACCCAGAACCTTGTAGCCAGGTGGAAAGTGACAGGAGATGGCTGCTGTCTTCCATGATCTAAGTGGTGGTGGTGGGGTGGGATGTTACCTATTTAGTGACATAGCTGGAAGAAGGTCACGGCACAAACTGAGGAGCAAGAATGAATAAAATTGCATTGATGTGGCCCAATGAATCACCATGGAAAGGCAAACGGTGCCATCAAACTGGCAATGATTTTCAAGGGACTGCTTAGTAACAATTTTCTTTCTGCTTGTGTCTCCAAGGATGGAGCCATCATAATCCTTAAGGACTACTGGTCATGCTTCATGTTAGGAATAACTGGGTACCAACATGCTTTACCAACATTTAGAACTGGCGCAACTAGTTAGGTGCTCAACTACTAACCGAAAGGTTGGTGGTTCGAATCCACCCAGAGGTGCCTTGGAAGAAAGGCCTGGTGATTTACTTCCAAAAGGTCTCAGCCTTGAAAACTCTATGGAGTGCAGTTCTACTCTGCACACATGGAGTCGGCATGAGTTGTAATCGACTTCCCGGCAACTGGTTTAGTTTATATATATATTTTTTATAGATGGAATGTTTCTAAAGGAATTGTAAGGAATGAGATGTCCAATATCATTGAATTGCAAGTCTCCAAATAAGTAAGATCATATTTTCTCACTTCAGCATAAAGGTGTTTAACTGATTAGTTGAGGTGTTTAACATTGGTTTTGCATTTTCTCTGGGAAGGCATTTGTGTCTTAGAGAAGGTGAATTGAACCTTCCAAAGAAAGAAGGGGGTCCCTGAATGGTGCAAAGGGTTAACATGCACAGCTGCTAACTCAAAGGTTGGATGTCTGAGTCCACCTAGAGGCACGTTGGAAGAAAGGCCTAGCAATCTACTTCTGAAAAATCAGTCATGGAGCACAGTTCCGCTCTGACATACATAGGGTTGCCATGAGTTAGAGTTGATTCAATGGCAACTGTTTTTTTAAGGAAAGAAGAGGTTGTAGAGGCAGTTAAAAAAAAAACTATGGCTCTTAGATTTTGTTATTTAAGAGTGCAGATTATGGAGCCAAACTGCCTCTGGCTTTGCCTCTCACTAGCTGTGTGACCTTCACCTCAGTGAGTCTCAGTTTACTCATCTGTAAAATGGAGATGTTAATGGTACCCATCTCATAGGACTGTTGTGAGAATCAAGTGAAAATTCCAGATAAAGCCCTTGCCACAGTGCCTGGCACTTAGTGAACACTCAATGCATGCTATTAGCAATCAGCTGGCTCTAAGGACATCTATACAGCTAGTTGGGATACTCTGAAAACTGTTGTGTTCCTGACTGAGAGGAAGAGTCTTTGTGAATCCGACACATTTCATGCTCATTAAAAATTTTCGTATTTCTATTGCTTATAATTTTGAAGCTGACAGTGGAGATCTTTTTCACTTTTCCTGAAAGCCAGCAGGAAAGGGATCACCCAGAGTCAGGGCAGCTTTCTGAGGTAAACTGCAACCATCCCCGTTTTACAGGAGAGTTCAAGCCCCTCAAACTGAATCAATCAAATGCTCCTCCGCTCCCCAGTGCACTGTCCCCTTCCTCTAACCTGGACGGGGCCCTGCTCCCCCAGCTTCCCACAAGGCTGTACTCACTCCTGCAGCAGTAAGTCCTTGAAGTGGATCATCTCCACCATAACCTGGGTATTTTCCTGGGCGGCAGAGCACAGGTCGTGCTTGAGGTAGCATTCCCGCTGCAGCTGGAACACCATTTCCTTGATGGCGGGGCATTTCCGGCTTATGCAGCCAAATCTGTGCCGCAAAGCGTGGGCCTTACACTTTAGGGCATCTTTGATGAACGACTTGCCCTGAGAAGAAAGACGATGGAGAAGGGAGAGAGAAGCAGAAGACAGAAGTCCTTGTTACACACGTGGATATTTACCCTTCTTGGATTTACACGAGATTGTTTTGACAACTGAACCCTGAGGTCCCATCTTGGACTGTTGTTCTTCCAGGTAATAGGTATGTTCAGAATGACATGTCCAGAGTGACATACCTCTGGCATTCAGCCAAAAAGGATGTCATTCCTGTAGACTAACCACTCTGCCTCCTCCTCCCCAGCTGTGCCATTGGGTCCCCTGGTCCTGGGGCTTCCATGGCCCTCTGTTCTCAAGGCAGCCCAGTTCACACCATTGGGTGGCAGCTTTTCTGGAACAGCAAGGAGCATCTGGCCAAATCCACAACTCCTTCTTGGTTCCCAGCAATCATTTTTCCCGAGTAGGTTTGTCCAGATCTCACATCTTTGCTTTTTCCTTCGATTCCACGAGCGATTTCCAGATGGGGTGCTTAGCTGTGCCTCTCCTTCCTGCCTCAGTGCCTCCCACTGCCCCAAACCCCCACTCCCATTTCCGCCAGCCCTTTAAAGAGGAGCATTCTTTTCCTTTTTAAAAATGATTCGACTTCTTTAAACGGTTAGGATTATTGTCTCTAAAAGGCTCGCCTGGCACACCGCCTGGCAGCATCTGGAGTCTGGGCAGCCCTGCCGGCGGCCCCTCCCCCACACTCTGCTTCTGAGTGGCGAAGGCAGCCAGGCATACATCTGGCCTACAGTGCTCTTTCCTGGCAACCCCATGAGATTGCTCTTATCCTAGAAAGGAGACAGCTGTTGGGGGTGTGGAGGCGAGTCAGCCGTTAGCTTCCTTATCAACCTCACATGGCAGAGAGGATTGTGGGATACCGACCCGGGAGTCCTCTCACCTTCCATTACTATAGAAACGAGCTGTTGCTGGAGAGGTCACCCCTCTGTTTTTAGACAGGCCAGAAGTAACTAAGTTGAGAAAGTAAATGGGTTTAGATTGGAAGTGGGAAGCTACTCAGCACGTTTATTTTGGTTCTCCCTTTAGAAGGAATCAAGATAGTGTCTAATCACAGAAAAACCACGTGACCCACCCACCTCCCTGTGGCCCTCTTCCGTTTAACTTTCCAGAAGCAGTGAAATAGGACGGAGGGCAGAGTGTGTCTGTTTATTAAGTAGTTATGTGCTGAGAGTCAACTTAAAAGGGATGACTCTAACTTGAGAATCTACTCCTGCTCGTTGAGGAAAAAAAGGGGAGATGAGCGCATGCGAGGCTGCAGCTATCTTCTCTTGGTATTCTTCCCTGACATCCTGTGGGATTGCCCTTACTACACATCTTGCCTCCGGATTTCCTATTATGCTTCCTAATTCCAGTTAATACAGAAGTGATGCTTTATTAGGGTGACAGAGCCACAAGGAGCCTCAAGGAGTTCGAATGTCCTACCTCTTTCTTCTCAGGTTTCAGCCTCCCCTCCTGCCACCCAATATCATCTGCCATTTAGGCTGCCAGCCCTGTTGCATCCCCTTCTGGTTCTCAGGCATTGCTTTTTCAGGCTCTCTACAGGAAGTCAGGAGCTGCTGGCTGGTGGCTTCCATAAATCACACCTCAACTGTTGGCCTCATCCACACATTGCCATTGCTCTCCAATGACATGGGAGAGGAAGTTTGTGAGCTCTAGCAACTGGGTGCTTCAACAATGGAGTCCCTGAATGGTGCAAACATTAACATGCTAGGCTGCTAACCAAAAGGCTGGAGGTTCGAGTCCACCCAGTGGTGCCTCAGAAGACAGGCCTGGAAATACTTCCAAAAAAGCAGTCATTGAAAACCTTATGGAGCACAGTTTTACTCTGACACACATGGGGTCACCATGAGTTGGAGTTGACTCAGTGGCAACTTGTGGTGGTGGTGGCTTCAACACTGCATATAAGGGCCAGGGAGAAAAGAAGGTGGGCTTAATGCCACATGCCATTTACAAGTGCATTTGGATCATCAGCACTGGAGCCATAAGGTTGCTTGTTGTGTTCCTACCATGCCCCGAGCAGCAACTCAGCTTTGCCCTTGGGATCCTGGGATAAGTGAAGTGGGTCAGGTCCTGACTATATTTGCTATATAGAGCAAAAGAAAAGTGCAGCATTGAGGGACTCCTTCAGGGTTTTGAATTTTCAGGTTGGAGAGGAGGGTCTGCTATTCAGGAGGTATAGAAATCTGCTTTTCTGGAGGGCCTAAATTATCCAGGTTGCCTGCCCATGCAAGCACTAGGAGATGATGAATTTCTAAAAATTTTGTGTCTCACTTACTCATCCCTATTAGGTGAAAATAACTTTTGGACTGTATAATTGGAGTCCCTGTCCCCTCCCCCCAATCTATTATTCCCAATGTGATGGGCCTTGGGAAGCGGGTTCTGGGTGGCCATAGAAGGTGTTTATCAGCTATCATGACTTTTGTCTTCTCTGCTTACACTTCCAGATAACTGTTTAACTTGTTTTCCATTCTTCTTTGCTGTGTAGACACAGCTTAAGAGTGTAGAAAGATTCATGCTACATGGCAGCTCCAGGGAGCAGAGCATGAGTGCCATGGGGAGACACTGGCATTCTGCTGTACACTGAGAATGTCTTTTGCAAACGTTAAAACACACCACAAAGAACAGCTAAGGAAATCTGTTAACAAGTCTTTTCCAATGAACATCTCAATCATGCTATGCCAACCCAAAACATCCTTCATGCTATATGCAGTTTTTACCTGAGCATCAAATTTTCCAGCGTTGTGCAGAAAAGTCATGCAAATCCCATGTAAGCCCCGGATCTCACAAGAGTTGTTCTCAAAACACTCAAACACTCCACAGCCCACATCGCCGGCATTGACCAAACAGTGCTGGATTTCCGCTAAAATGAGAATGACATAGAAATATGTATGCATCTGTGTGTGTGTATATATATATATATATAAAATCCATCTTGGACAATGCAGAAAGGTAGACTGAAATAAAAATTAGTGATAACTATTTCAGGATTAAAAAAGATGAGAAAGTAAATTTTCATCATTTTATCTACTCATGAAAAATATATTAATATTTGTTTAAAAAAAAAAAAAAGCCAAACTGACATCACAAAAATCCTAATTGGAAGTTAGGTCTGAGTGTTCCATTCTTCATCCTTCCCATTTTATTAAAGTATTTGTGGGCATACTTAGCAAAAGAGCAGAAGACATTTCAGTTTTTTAAACACACAAGACAAAAATAAGATTTGGAATTCTCAGCTTGCTGTGTCTCCCTTCTGTCCTTCATCAGTCAATGAAATACCCTTCACTACTTGGTTCTGCAGACACTGCTGGTATTAAAGCACAACCATTTCCTTCCTGACCCCCAAATGAGAGCGTCCAAAAAGCAGTTTCAATTCAGCTTTATGATTCAACACCTAAAAATCAAAACAAAATTCCTATTAAGGCAGCGCCTCCAAACCATCCGCATTAAAAATACCACGCTAGTGAAGCTGCGGTTTGCGAGCAGCTCAGATCAGGGGCAGCCTTCAGAAACGCCACCATCGCGGGCAGCAGTGCCTTTTAATTAGCGATCTGGTGTAAGATGGCACTTATTTCCCCAGAAGCCCAGCGGCCGGGGGGCTTTGTGCCCTCCTTCCCAAGATGTGGCCCTAATTCCTCCCTCGGAAAGGGCAAACCGGTGGAGTTAACTGCCAGGCTGCCATGTGCAAAGCCTCTCTTCTCTCCCTCCCCCCTACCCAATTCCCTGATTTAAACCAACCACAAAATTACATCAGAAAAGTATATTTTGGAAGAAGGGCGGGGTCCGAGTAGATAATCCGTATTCAAATTAAATCTAGCAAGAGAATGAGAGGCGTGTAGGTGTTTGTGAAGGGTCACCAACTACAGAGAATCGTGTTCAGTTCCCTGAGAAAGCGCTGGCGAGGGGGAAGGGCGGAGGAGGGCTCATTTGTCGGGGGCGCCGGCCCCGGGTGCGGGCAACGGCACGTGGAAGTGGGAGGCTCCCGGATGACCCCACGCGCGGCCCCAGTGCGCCGGGTAGGACCGTGCAGGCCGGCGAGTCACTTGGGGCGTCCCTAATGGGCACTCGTGCATTCCTGCTCGTGCGGGGAGCGCACCCTGCCGCCGTGTTCGCACGCCCCCCCCAAAAAAAAGGTGAGGAGGGGGGCGCAGAGCGAAGGCGCTGTGGGCAGATTTGCTTTCTCTCCCCAGAACTAGGAGAAGGTCCATCTCCGACTCCTGCACGCCTGGCTCTGCTCCGCAGCTTGCAACGCACGGGAGAGCTGGCCGAGCAGCGGCGGCGCACTATTAGGGCCGTGTGACCATCTCTCGGCTTGCTGACCTGTCCAGGAGCGGGGAGTGGCGGCAGCGCGGAGGAGGTACGCTTTGCGCTTTCTCCCCCTTCCGAAAGCAATGTCCCCAGGGGGAAAGTTCGCCATGCAATTTGTCTCGCCGGCCGGCAAAGTTCTCGGATGTCTGGCATCTTTGGAGGAGGGGGAGACGCAGTCCTGCCGACGCCGGCTGGCTGGGAAGAGAAGTTTCCTGGGTGCAGGGCGCGGCCTGGCTCTGGAGACCCTCTGTCTCTCCTACGGGCCGACCAGGATGCAGCAGCGCGCTATGCACGGGACCCGGGACTCGGGCCCGGCGCTGGCAGCGTCAGGCACTGCCTCATTTCCCCTCAACCCTGAGGAGGACAGCAACAAGTCTTGCCCCAGCCATTTCATCACCCTGCCAGCACGTGCAGATTCCGGGCGCGCGGAGCTCGGCTCAGACTTCGCCTCGCGCTCGTCTTATGCACGTCCCGCGCCACCCCAAGAGTTTGCGCGGCCCGGGGTGGGCGCCCGGCTCCGGGCGAAGCGCCCGGGCGCGCTCCGTGGGCGCACGATGTCCTCTCCCAGCAGCTCCCGGCCGCAGGGGCGCACGCACTTACCTGTGTTCTGCAGGGACAGGCGGCCTTTCTGCTGGGAGCCTCTGTCTTGGAGACCCTCGGGTGGGTTGGTAGCGTCGGTCCCCCGCGCCGGGTCGAAGGTGGCCAACACCAAAGCCAGGGTCACGAACTGGCCCAGCCGCTCGGCACACATGGTTCTTGGTATAAACCTCCCGCCCGGAGACCTGGATTCTTTGTGCTCCCCTCCTCTTCCTCCTCCTTCGCCGCTTCCCCTCCTCCTCCCACTCTTCCTCCTTGCTCGCCTTTTCCCTCCTCCTCGCGGCCGCGGCTCGGATAGAGGTTACCCAGCGCCCTCCCGTAGCTATCCGGAGAGCATGTGACCAGGCCGTTAGCAGCGCCGCGAGTGCCTGGCAATGCAGGGATGGTGCCTCAAATATCCCTGGAAGCTCTGGTGTCACTTGAATGAAGGAGTCGAGCAGGTGTTGTCCTGGCGGCTGGACCAATCCGAGACCCCGGCCCGTTTGACAACACGGCTGGGAGGCGGGGCCTGCGCCCAACTACTACAGGAGGAAGCGGAGTACCGCTTGGAGCGCCTCACAAAGTTGTCGACCTGGCGGCGGCCACGCGTTTGCGTGCGTGTGTGTGTGTGAGCGCGGCCGGAGATGCGTGCGCGTGTGCGGGCGCTCCAGGGCAATGGCCGAACGGACTGAAACAAATAAAAGCGAATCTCAGCTCCGGTTGCAGCTCAAGAAAGGCGAGAGGCGACGATCTGTGCTGGAACTGCGTCCCCCGGGCCTCTGGCTCGCATCACACCCGCACGAGGCTGGGGAAGTTTCCTTTTTCCGCCGTTTAGAATTCAGGCATTCCCATCCCCAAGGCCTTGGCAGATTGAAGGAGTATCCTGGGCACAGCGATGCTCGGGGGCAAACTGACCACATATGGGAACTCCTGGCGTTGTGACATTTTGAACTACCACAAAAAAAAAAAAAAAAAAAGACTATTGAAGGTAGGAGCAGAAGCAGTAGATATAGAACTCGGCCCGAGCAACTGCCTCTTCCCCCTTTCTTATAGCCCCACTTTGGTGGGCAGAGTCTACGTGGGGCCGTACAACACATGAGGTGTCAGTTTCTCGCCCGTCCCTCCAATCCAGACGGATTCCGGGCCGGGCTGCGGAGATCCAGGTGACAGTCCGGGCTTGCATCATTTCCATGCGGGTGACAGGGAGGCCCGGGCAACCCTGAGTCAGTCGGCCGCGCAGCATCGCGTGCCTCGGGGGCCCGAGCTTGAAAAGCAACTTTACGCGTCTCCAAACACGCTCTTCCATTTTCCCAAAGCGCTGCTCACCGCCCCGCTCCGGGTCCCTTTCACTCTCCAGGCATCGGGTGGAAACTGTTTTAAAACCACAACAACCCCAAAAACAAACAAATAAAAAGCCCGGAGAAATTCTCCCCACTTCTCCTCCCTCCTTGGTCGAGGCCCATCCCCAGGCCCAGCCGGGCAGCTTGCTCCCGGGCGTTGGAAGCCTGGAGAAACTTGGGCGCCGCTCGGAGCTCTCTTCCCCCGCTGTGTGTGTACGTGTGCACGCTCACGTCTCCCCGGCGCCGGGGCCGGGGACAGGAACTACTCCGGGCATCGTCAGCCCGAAGGCGCAGCTCCGGGGCTGCTGAGCTGGTGGAGGGCGGGGATGCGAGCGCGGCGGCCGAGCGCCCCCAGGCACTACCCCCCGCTTCGCGCGCCCTCGCCCCTCCCCCACCGCCCCCACTCTCTTCCTGTAGAACAGGTGAGCCGGGGTACCATTCTCTCCCTACGCTCGTGTCTTGCTCCCGGCTTTCGCGCTCTGCGGTAGTGCGCCGGAAAGGTTTCATCACCCACCGCCGGCGGCGACGCGGCCCCAGGTCTCCGCTGCGGGGCGCACTGCCTGCCTCGTTGGGGCCGCCATGTGACACGACTGGGGGAGGGGATGCGGAGCCGAGCGGGGCAGGTCACCCTTGGGCCGTCTCCCGGCTTCCGAAGCTTCTCACCGCGGGTTTCCGCGGCACTCGGGCGGGCGTGGGTGAAGCAGAGGCGGGGGGTCAGGGTGGCCGCCCCAGGCTGCGGCTGTCCGGCGCATTCAGCGGCCCTGGGGCAGGAAAAGGGAGAAGAGGAGATGGGGAGGGCATCGTTCGAGTGGGCTTGCGCCCCCGGAAGCCGGTGCCCACCGTCCCCGCCTGACTTTCAAAGCCCCAATAAATGGTCATTTTAAAGGTCCGAGCCTGCGGCGGCGGCAAAAAACTGACCCCTCATGCTCATGATTGTAGCAGCAATTACTTCCTGAAGCCACAGATCTTTTGTGAAAGAAGGTGGGGGTGCAAGTACATTAAAATGGGTGGTTCGCATTTCCCACCCCGCATTTGTTTGCATAGTTAACTTAGCTTCCTTTATTAGTTTATGAAAAACCACCTCCTGCAGATCTTTAAAAAAAAAAAAAAAAATGGTAACAGCATCCTGTCTTCTCACTAACTCCTTAAACCCCTGAATTTCCTGGGGCCAGACGGCCATTTGGTTTCACTTCTGCTTTGTAGGTATAGCTGGGTAGACTCTCTTCCAGTAACCTCTTTTAAAAGTTAGAACATGAGCAACGTTAGGATTAAAAAGGCATCTGGTCACCTGGTTCTTTGAGCTACAGAAATAGGAGAGAGATGCAGGGGGAGGGGGCAAGGCCATCTTTGCCAGATGCAGACCTTCTCCCCAGATTGAAGGCTCCAAAGGCTCCAAGGCCACCAGGCAGATGGAGAGACTGACCCCTGGGGTCCTGGGGCTCCTGCCTTTCCACTGCCTTTGGGAGGCACTGTCTTTTGCCACCATGAGGCTCTGCGGATGGCCCTTGGAGGTCCTGCCTAATTTTAAAATTCATTTGCTCCAGAGCCTCACAGGGGACATTTCATGGCTCCTACCTGAGCCAACAGCTCTTTTGAAACTAAAGGAAAATTTAGTAGCTAGAATTTGAGGTTTTGCAAGCACAGGTATTGATTCTTAAAGGTTGTTTTTTTTTTTTTTTTTATCTCTAGACGCCTTAGCCAGGGTAAACACATCCAGACACGCAAGCCCATTCCAGTCAGTCCCACCAGGGCTGTGGAGATTCTTTTGCAGAATCAGTAGACAGTTTGCATGGGACACTCAGTCTAGACTGCAGGCCCTGGGTGGGGGTGGGGGTGGGGCTAGGAAGAAGTGGGGCTGGGACTGATGACTTTGTTGCCTTGTGATCTCCCTCTTCCATCCTGATTTCTTTAGCTCTGTAACTCAGACCTGATTTGGCAGACTGTGGCTGATGAGAGTGAGGCGTGGGAAAGGGACAGTAATAATAATAAAAAAACAAACCTGTTGCGGTCAAGTAGATTCTGACTCATAGCGACCCTACAGGACAGAGTAGAACTAGCCCGATAGGGTTTCCAAGGAGCGACTGGTGGATTCGAACTGCCGACCTTTTGGTTAGCAGGAGAACTCTTAACCACTATGCCACCAGGGCTTCCAGTAATAATAATAGTAGTTATTATTATAAGGAGCCTTGGTGGAGAAGTGGTTAAGAGCTTGGCTGCTAACCAAAAGGTCAGCAGTTCGAACCCACCAGGCGCTCCTTGGAAACCCTGTGGGGCGGTTCTACTCTGTCCTGTAGGGTCACTATGAGTCAGAATTGACTGGATGGCAACGGGTTTGGTTTTTTATGGTTTATTATTATAAAGCTAACGTGAATTGGGGGCAGTGGTGGTTCAGTGGTAGAATTCTTGCCGCCCATTTGGGAGACCTGGCTTTGATTCCCGGCCAGTGCACCTCATGCGCAGGCACCACCCATCTGTCAGTGGAACTTTTGTGTTAGTATGATGCTGAACAGGTTTCAGTGGACCTTCTTCACTAAGAAGGACTAGGAAGAAAGGCCTGGTGATCTACTTCTGAAAATCAGCCAGTGAAAACCCCATGGATCACAACGGTCCTATGCTGTTGTGCATGGGGTCACCATGAGTTGGGTGTCAACCCCACAACAGCTAACAGGAACATGAATTGAGAACTGCTATTGTGCCACATGCTGTGCTCAAGGCTTTGGTGTCCCACCAGACCTGAGTCCACCCTAGAAGGAGAACGAGACTTTACAGAATGATCTCCTGAGAGGGGCGAGGACAGACCATCTGGGGTTGCCCTGAGGTCCAGTACCCCTATGAAGTCTGAGTGGATGGACTGTCCTTCCCAGTAACACCATCCAGCTGTGGATACGATGCGGCGGGCCTGCCTGGTGACATCCAGGGTCGTCTGTGGTTGATGCATGGAGCCCCTGTTCGCCTCTCTAAACCCATTTCATCAGTTAAATGCAATCAACACTTAGCAAGTTTCAGGGAGGGGGTAATTGGGTTAGACCCTGAGCAGATGGGGGAGGATTTTGATAAGTGGAGGTAGGGTCAGTGAGAGAGGGCATTGCAGAGAGGAGAGATGGTGGGATTTGTATAGGGAGTCAGAGATGAAGCTGTTGAGGTCGGCTGGGGCTCTGTTGTCAAGGCTGGGACCACTGTGACAAGTCCATGCTCACCATAGAAGATCTTGCTCTCTCATCCTGCCGGTATTTAAGGATGAGACTTGAGGATGACCTTAGACTACATTATGTTCTGAAATTTGGAAAAGATTAGGGGATCAGTGCTGCTATTGTGGAGGAGCATAAAGATTAGAGAAATAATTGGTTGGTATCTTGATGGGGATTGTGATGCTCAGCAAAGCAGAAAGTGTTTTTGGTCAGGTGTGAGCAGTTGGGGCCTTAGAGGATGGGACCAGTCCTTGGATGAGGAGGCAGTGACAGTGGAGGTTGATACATGTTGTCTCGTCCTGGCTTTGTGTGTGCTCCAGAGTCAGAGAGAAGAACATGTCTTACACAGAGTTCTGCCTACTGCACGCCCTGCCCCCTTGGGGCTGACTGTCTAGGCTGATAGCACCACCTTATGGTCAGAGAGGGAACTGTCTGACCAAATAGTCTTGACTCCTTATGGATACCTGACTCAAGAGTGAGATCTTGGGATCTGCAGACTGTGCTAACTGAGAGGTTGGAGGTTCAGGTCCACCCATAGGTACCTTGGAAGAAAGACGTGGCGATCTATTTCTGAAAAATCAACCATTGAAAATCCTATGGAGCGGAGTAAATAGACTGGAAAGCAGCTGGTTTACCTGACTCAAGGGCCAATACTGGGTCTCCTGCCTTCTATCCAATTTCTTTACCTCTTCCATAGCAAGTCAATGAATGCTGCTTTTGGTGTTCTTCTCACAATGACGTCTTTAATCACCCCATTAAGAAAATCTCTTTCAAACTTTTTACTTTCTCTCTTCCTCACCCATCCTTCACTTACCTTAGTTTGTGAGCCCCAAATCTACCCTAATGATAGCTCTTTTGTGTCATGCCTATATGAAGGAAAAAGAAAGCGGAAGTGAAATTGGACAAATAAAATAAAGAACTATCATCACCCAAAATTCTTGAAAACAGAGGTCTTCCCATAAAAAGTTGCTTCTTTCCCTCTATCTTCTCTCATTAAGTCAGAATTCAGAATATAGAATATGTCTTCAGTAGTTGGGTTTGCTTATTAGTACTCAACAAAATTGCTTTCTGCTAATTTTCACTGTAAAGGTACAGTGTTTTGATAACGTTATGAGTTAAGTAGGGTTTTTGTGAGCTGGCCTGGAAACCTAGCCATCATTTATAACATTGTTTATAGGAAGAAAATATATTCTGAGCTCCCAAAACAACCAACTTCCAAAGTTTTGGAACCCGATGCTTTTGTGAATTGGGCATTTCCTCTGTGTCTTAGATCAATAGTCAAACCGTGTTCATGGATTGACTGGAAACACAAAAGATAAAAAAATTAAAAACAAAAAAACCACGAGAGGATAGGAACACTGTATCCCTTACAATAAATCCATTTCCTGGAAAGAATATAAAGCAGTAAACATCGGCGTCTGATTGTGGTCTGACATTGGTTAGTGCCTTGCTCTGAAGCCTGAGTAGTCTCCCAGAGGCCCTTTCTGTTTTCCTTGGGCCATATTTTTTGCTTCCTCATTGTATGATGAGACAAACTGTGGGAGGAAAAACTCATGGCAAGGGGCTGCCTGATTTCCAGTGAGAGTGCTGGTTGAGTCCCTCCCTAGAGGTGAGCATCTTTGTGCTGGAATGTTAGAGAGCTCCCTTGGTCTGCAAACTTTTGGATT